GACGACGATGAAAAAGATGAAGAAGATGAAGAAGATGAAACCCTCGAGGACGCGGAGGGAGAATCCCCTCCCCTCGTGCAGCGCCGCAGGAGGTGGTCGATGTCGTCGAAGCTCGGCGGTGGGTCCTCCCCGGCCTCGCGGACGGCCTCCGCGAAGACGGCGATCTCCTGCGCGGGCGGCGGGGATTCCCCCCGACGGTCGATCCACCGGTGGAGAAAATCGAGTGAAACGCGCCAACCGAGGTGGCGCGTGAGGTGCTGCAGCACATACGAGGCTAAATTAACCTCCAACGCGCGAAATACCGAAGAAGAAGATGCGGGAAAAGACGAAGGGGAAGGAGAAGGAGAAAGAGAAGGAAGCGCCACGGCGGCCTTCGCGTGTGCGGTCTGGAGCTCGCGAAGGAGCCTTTCAAATCGGCGAAAAAGCCTCCCCCCCTCTACCCCTTCCCTTCCACGATCCCGCTCGAGGTGCTCAAGATACGCGATAAATTGCTTCATCGCCAACGTGCGCATCGGCAGCCCGCGGGCGAGGACCTCGCGCGACCACCTCGACGGGGTTCGCGCGTTTCGAATCCCGCGATGCCGCCGGCGATCCGCGGGCGCGACGCGAACGTCGCGCCACCCCCCGAACGACGCGCCCGACGACACCAACGGCCCCGCGAGCGAATCCACCGCGGCGGAAAACCGCGCGTTGACGAGCTGGCGATGCCTCGAGGCGGCCTCAAAGGCATCGAGGAAGGCCTCGACGTATTGCAATTGATTCACCTCACTGGTGGAGGTTCGACGCGCCTGAAGTCGACGCGTGCGCAGCCGCTCCACGCGTTTCGCGGCCTTCAGCGCATCCCGATGGTTCCCAGTAAGGTGGGAGAGCTGCGCGCGGAGAAGCGAGCGATGCATGCGTGAAAATACACTCAAAAAGAGATCGAAATGGAAATTTAAAGAAAAAAAAACAAGGGAACGAATCGATGAATCCATAGTGTAAGCAATCCCCTCTGGACACCACCACACCCATATCGGAGACCCCCCTTTTGGGTCGCAGGGCCAAAAAAAAAAAAGAATGAATGAATGAATGAATTGAATTAATAGACAATGCGCGTGTATATGGGAAGAAGAAAATAAGAAATAGACCGAAGAAGGAAAGAAATATCAGCAATAATCTAGAGATCATCCCTCTCCTCCATTCCTTCCTTCTTTCTCGCTCTTCTCGTCACCCCCATATCCCCACCCCCCCACCCCCCCCTTCCATAATAAAAAAATAGCATACACAAATCTTAAAAATGCAACTCCTCCCGCAGCGCCTGCAACGCCCGCGCGTGCGCCTCCGCGAGCTTCTCCCGCTCCGCCATTAAACGCAGATTCACCCGCTGCCGCGAAACGCGACGGCGGCGAACGGCGCTCGCGGCCTCCTCGACG